CAATCATGTCTTCAGTATAGTGGATAGTTACCTGTACAGTTTCTTCCATTTCCAATGAATCCATGCTTGCAGGTACAGTTATGGCCTCCCTCCGTGTTATTACAAACAGCATTAACATTACAGCTGTCGGAGTTGATGCTACACTCGTCTATATCTAATGAATGAAAAGGAAAAAAACTTGGAGTCATTTTGAGTAAATTCAGCAATATTTTCTAGTGACTTGCATACTCTACATCATGGTTACTGAAGTGTGGAAAAAGGCACGTAACTAAAGCGTGGAAGGGGTGGTACCACTTCAAACCTGATCCTATTTAAGTTAAAGTCCAATAATTTAATTACTCTGTCTAAGACAAGCTGGATTTATTTTTTGCGAATCCATTTCTATTTAAATCTAAGTGTCAGATCACCGTTTCAAGAATACTGAAAATAAAAAACTTCTTGTGTAAATACCGAACGGTTTAGTAAAGTGCCTTCGTCTAGTTTGATATAGTACACTTTCCAGCAGCTCAGAGATAGTAATAGTATTATGTAAGCGAGCTGCCACCACGTTGTACAGGGACCGGAGGGATAATATCTCTCAATAATAAAAATTACGGAAAATTTTTTCCTTGCCGAAGAGGAAAGACTCTGAAAACTACACGCTGTCCTGCGGCACGTCCCCTTTCAGCCACATATTNGTCGACTAAAAAATGAATTCATATTTTTACCTAAGAATTTTGCGGTACTCTAGTCATTTCGATTCGTTTGTTTCTCTTTGTCAAATCTATCCCAAAACTGAGTATTGAACACAGCGTACAACTGGAATTAAAAATGTCTCCAGACGACGCAGACTTTGGGCATTTCGCGTTGTTGTTTTGCAGGGGACGGCAAAGAAATGTACCAAACAATTATAACGTACGTGCACAATCGCTGCATTTCTTATTAAATCTTTTGTTTAGCGACGTTCTTGGCCGTTGCCGTCGTGGTTTTCTTAAGCTCTCTAATGAGGTAACGCCCACGAGGCCACATATTTCATAATATAACAGCACTTCAAGGAAAGAAAATTATTATTTTTAGGCCTCGCTTTTTCGTTTTTTTACTCTAATTTTCGATCATGTTAATGGCAATATATTAAAGTATTAAAACGTATTTTTGTTACCAAAGCATTTTCTTCCATTTCCGTAGAAACCAGCTTTGCAAGTACAATTGTACGATCCCACGATATTGTGACAAATTGCATTGACATTACAGCTATGGTGATTAGTTGCACACTCGTCTATAACTAAGAAGAAGAATGTGTGTTGGTTAGTCTTATATTGTCTTAGCAAAATATTTATACCTAGTCTTACCCAGTTTTAAATAAAACCAAAACAGTTTTGCTACTGCGTCCTCGGTCGAGCCTTGGTTTGAATTTTTGGAGACGTAGTCGAGCCAAAATTAGAAGGATACAATGGATTTACGGGGAATCTTCGCCCGAAAGGTATATTCTTGGAGGAGGTGTACGAGGGGTAGAGGTTTGTTCTGTTGAAGTACAAAAAAGTGTAGACCAAACTGTAGTTTAGGCATTTGCACGGTTAGCATTTTGTCAAAAAAGAAAATGAACAGATGACGCTAACTGCTGATTCATCGAAGTATTTTAAGAGATTACGTAATCCTGGAGTAGCAGTGTGTTTGCTGTCTTTATATGAAAGGGATAATATCTTATATCCAAGGAACATCAACGGGTTATAACCGTAACAGGATAAATTTTGTTATTATAAGACACTTCAGTCAGCAAATATCCTTTATACACGTTCCAAAAAATTCAAAACGATACAGTTATCCTAGAGAAGAAGCTAGTGTATGTACTTATGTGTAAATATCTCCTTAACCTCCAAACGGAAAAAGAAAAAAATAACCACTGATTTTAATGAAGATATTTTAGGGAAATAGAAAATCAACTTTACAAAGAACAATTAAAAGGTAGTTTTAAATTAAGCTTCTCTAAAACAGTCTGTTGTTTAAACTGATTGTAAAAATTCCTATCAGATAGCAAATTGCTTAGACTGTTTTACCTTTAAAACAAGTAAAGTTGTAACAGTTATTGCATGACACGTCATCCCAAGTGTACCCTTCCTTCGCACCAAGAGTGTGTACGCAGTCTTGATTTTTGTGATTGTTTGGTTGTTTTGGAGCCCAGAACCTAAACCCATTTATCTCTCTGTTTGTCCACACAAACGNAATGTTGAAAAAAAAAAAAAAAATTTACATATACCATTGGTCATCTCTGCTATGGTTGAGACATTCCTTTTTTTCCCCACGGTAATTCCTTATTAACGAAACCTGATAACGCTGTAACACAAACGTTACATGATGTTGTGTGTTCGCAATTCTTGCAAACATATTAATGAGACAATTTCCAGAAGTAAATGTCACTCCATCTTTTTGATTGGAGGAGAAATTCTGCCTGTTTGTCACTGTATTATTTAAATTCACACAATATAGTACAAACAAAGCGTGATAGGATATAAACGAGTACAAATGGTCAATTATGATTTGGTCAGAACGTTTTTACTTTCTTAAATATATAAACGGAACATAAAGAAGCTTATGTGAGTACGAACCTTGCAGAAAGCGTTGTTTTGATCGTCAGCAGGAGGTTTGTTGTTCACAAAGTAAATCGAGTTATGTTCCGAAAAGGGAGGTTTGTGAAGATAGGTGAACGCCAACCAGTTCTAATAATAATAGAAAAAAATCACTAGCTGAGTAAAACTGCAAGCTTTGAAAATTACTATTAAGTACGGTTCAAAGTTTAATAACGTTAAATGAAAAACGGTGTCCAACATTACATATTCTGAAAGTCACGAAGAAGAAAATAGACCACAGCAAATCGTGATAAAATAACAGTCACGAAAGATGTATATGAGACACTTACAACAGAAAGATCTTCGTGAGATCCTGCGTAGTTCTC